GTGGGTAAGAATGGCTGGCTGGGGGAGCCTCTGTTCCTGCCACCAGTCCTCTGGCTTTGTGGCCCACCGCGGCTTCTCCTAGCCAACGTGGCTTCTTGTGAACCTAGGTGAGAAGGCGGTTGATCGATGAGTGTGGCAGCAAATGTGAGCAACCCGTGTCTGGAACATCTACGTAGGAAAGGCTGCTCTCAAACTGGGAGCTGGCGGTCTCATTGAAACTGAAAAAGAAGCGTCCAGCAGCCTATAGAGTTTGCGTTGACTGTGTGTCCGTCGTGTTTTTTTGTTTTTTGTTTTAAATGGCATATGGGTGCCCTCCTGGGAAGCGACAATCCACAGTGGCTGTCCTGTCCAGGTATGCAGTTCAGGTCTGCGTCCCGCCTGTTAACAAGAGTTCTGCAGTCAACCGCCCTGCTGGCTTTGGAACGCCAAGATTCCTGTGGCACAGTCTCTGGGTTAATCCACCGAAAGTGTAGTTGATTAACTTAGTGTGGACAAAGTTTCATCAGCACAATACTGCCTTGAGACCCTATATGGTTATTATTTCCAGTGAAGGAAGGACGTTGGGTAGGTCTGGAATGTAATGGATTTTTGGCCCCAGCAAAACTATTTTTTCTTTTTCCTGATGTTACCTAAATATTCAAAACTGACGATCATCCTACAGTTCGGTTCTGTTTGGAAAAGGCAGCCCATTGGGAAGTCTTGAGCAAGGCAATTTTGTCATGGCCTGAAATAACCCTACGAGACTGATGTGAAATGCATGGTCAGAGTAGAAAGCAGAGCTGAACTTCCACAGAGGGGCTTCACATGAAGATTCCTTCAGCGGGTTCCCTTCCCTTCTCTCTCCCCGTTGCCTCTTTGTGTGTTAATGTGAACCCTTTTGGTCTTTCTAACACCTAGATGACATAGAGGTGCGGTTTGTCATGAACGACTGGGAAGCCAAAGGGATTTTTTCTCAAGCGGACGTGCACCGCCAGGTGGCCATTGTCTTCCGGACCCCTCCTTTTTACAAAGACATCTCGGAGCCGGTCACGGTGAAGATGCAGCTGAGGAGGCCCTCGGATCAAGAAGTCAGTGACCCGATGGACTTCAGATACCTGCCGGAGGAAAAAGGTATGATGCCTACATTAGACATGGGGAAAATGCCAAATATTGTTGGACCACGGCTCCCGCTTCGCTCTCCCCACTGGCTAGGCTCATAAGAGCTGGTGGGAGGTGAAGTCAAAAAATCTGCACTGGGGCCCAGGGAAACGGCATCTTTTCTAAAACAAGATTCGCTATCGTTGAATAGTGTCTCATGCCACTTTACACAGGAACTAGACGGGTCACTCCATTTACAAGAGTCTTGTTCTGGAACCACTTCCGCTTCTATACAATTCAGTGTATAGAATTCCCCACCCTTTTTTTCTTTCAAATCTTTTTAACCTCATTGCATTATAAACAACTTCCTCTTCTCTTGCTAGTAATGTTTACCTTCTCCAAGAAGAAGGTACCGTGCATTCAGGAAAGAGCTTTGCATTTAAACTCGCCAGCTTATTTCCTCTTGGGAAAATTGACTTCTTATGTCCAAGGCTGACTAAGATATTTTGCTGCCCGAGGCTAGTCCAAGCCAGCCAAATTATTTTGGCCTGCCATACTGAAAATCCCACAGATGTTTCTCCCTATCCTGGACTGTAAAAATAAAGGAGTAAATTTACACTTCTTTGCTATTTGATAACATCTCAAATCTGCCTCAGTAGATTAGCTCCCTTGCCTAATAAGGTGGTCATACCTCAATAAGCTCTACAAGAGAAGAATATTTACAGTAATTAAAGTACCATCAATCTTTTTTAAAAAGGGGGGGTGTTAATATATTCAGCTTATGCATTGATAGGGTGGAAGAATACTTACTGCGTTTGCAGAAAATACCAGATGCGATGATCAGTTCTCAAGTCACAAGAGTAAATAGTTACTGTTGTAATTACAATTTTAAAGGGGACTTTAGAATTTTAAAACTAGTTTTGCTTTCTTCATTTCTCAACAGTAACTAAATCATTACTTTTAAAAAAAGCACCTAGACATTACAAACCCTTAGTCCGTATTCGTTCGTTAGTCGTTTAGTCGTGTCCGACTCTTCGTGACCCCATGGACCAGAGCACGCCAG